CCCGCCACAACGCCCGGCTATTTTTTGGCTGCAGATGTCATTATTGTTTGGCAGGCCCAGGGCTGGATTCAAAACCGCCAGCTCAGGTGTATGTAGCTGGCGCCTTAGCCACTTGAGCTTACAGGCACTGAGCCCAAAACATAAAATTTAACAAACTTTTACCAAATCCTTACTGTTTATCAGATATTGTGCTAGATATTAAAGATGTAAAATAGAATGGTAGATTATAATCCATAAGAGGGGCTTATAATAAAAAGGGTGAATATAAAATAAATCCTTTTACTAAAACTAAGAGCCCTCTTCAAAATTTGAAAAAAAGATAAATTTAGGTCATAAAAACAAAGCTCCATTTTACCAAACATAAAATTCTATTCTAAGAAATTGTACAGATTGCAAACAGGAATTATTTAAATGTTTTAAAGTCATGAGTGATGCATTTATAATAGGGTAACATTCTTATACTGTAGTCTTTGACTTTTGTCAGTTTCACCCTTTCCTAAAATATATGGTCTCCCAAAACAATATATTTTCTCAACCTTCCCCCAGAAGTTGAATCCTTAAAAACAACTCAGTTTACATTTTTTTCCCTAAAGTATTTTAGAACTTCTCTTAAAGTCACCTTTCCCAGATGGATCTGAGAAAATAGCAACAAAGTGAGGAATCTAAGAATTACAATTCTACTACCCCAATTTTTTCTTCTATTTTTATTAACTTCTTGGTTGTCAGTCACCTATCTTCCTTTAGGGACATTTTTGTTTTTATTTTTAATATTTTAGAGGCAAGGTCTTGCTCTGTAGTCCTAGGCTAGAGTACAATGCCATGATCACAGCTCAACCTCAAACTCCTAGGCTCAATTGATCCTCCTGCCTTAGCCTCCTGAGTAGCTGAGACTATAGGTGTGGACTACCACAATCAGCTAATTTTCAAAATTTTTCTTATGTAGAGATGGGGTCTCACTATGTTGTCCAGGCTGTTCTTGAACTCCTGGCCTAAAGTAATCCTTCTGCCTTGGCCTCCCAAAGTGCAGGGATTATAGGGATGAACCTCTGTGCCCAGCATGGAGTTGTATGATTTCTAATGGCTCCTAAGTTCATTCTTATACCTTCATACATTTGCTATATTTATTATAGACCATTTGGTGTTAAAATACCTGAATTAACACCACTTGATAATGTCCATAAAGATTAGTAAAACTGATTAAAAAATAATTTATAGGCTTGGCGCCTGTGGCTCAAGCGACTAAGGCGCCAGCCACATACACCTAAGGTGGCAGGTTCGAATCCCCAGCCCGGGCCCGCCAAACAACAATGATGGCTGCAACCAAAAAATGGCCAGGTGTTGTGGCAGGCGCCTGTAGTCCCAGCTACTTGGGAGGCAGAGGCAAGAGACTCGCTTGAGCCCAGGAGTTGGAGGTTGCTGTGAGCTGTGATGCCATGGCACTCTACCCATAGCTTGAGGCTCCATCTCAAAAAAAAAAAAAAAAAATTTATAAACTAGTTAAAAAGGGTAAGTACAAGTAGAATCTGCATAGTTGACCACCTCCTTACATTGATGACCTCCTTAAATTGATCTAATTTTCATAGATGAGACATGTACCACATGTCCATGACCACCTCCATATGTTGACCAGTTTGTTATAGTCCCTTGGGTGGACAACTTACAGAAGTTTTACTATATTTTGCCACTTTACTCCAAATTCCAAGTTACAATACTTAATGTTATAAAATATAAATGTGAGAAATGGCTGCCTCTATCAAAAGAAAGGTTTACTATTGGATCCTTTAAAGGCAGTGGTTAAACTGTTCCTTAGAATTCTTTTCAAAGGTACGTTTAACCTGGTGAAATTATTTTAAATTTAAATATAAAATATATTTGCAGTCCTTTAAAAACCTGATATATTCTACAATGTCTAACAACTAGAGGAAAAAACCTGTCATGAACATACATGTACCTTATTGTATTTTCCTGTACGGTCAGGATTATCTATCAACATCAGGCAAAACCAAAATAAATACGCTTTGTTTACATAACAAATTCTGGTAAAGAGGTTTTAATTGGGAATACCAAAGACCTGTGGTCTAAAATTTAAATTTTTAAAATGTCTACTCACATAGAATTATACAAAAACAACAGTGTTATTTGGGAGGATCCTCTGAGCTCAGGAGTTTGGGACCAGTGTGAGCCTGAGCAAAAGCAAGAGCAAGAGCAAGACTCTATTTCTAACAAAAATAGAAAAAATGAACCAGGTGTTGTGGTGGGTGCCTGTAGTCCTAGCTACTCTGGAGGCTGAGGCAGGAGGATTAGGAGTTTGAGGTTGCTGGGAGCTATACTGATGCCAGGGCATGCTACCCTGGGGCAACAGAGTAACACTCTGTCTTAGAACAAATAAACAAAAAACTCCCATTAAATTAACAGTAAATTAAACAGCTTAGACTCAGCTTAAGCAAAACTAAGAAATGTAAATAATAACACCTTATAGTTTAAGTGCTTATTTAAAATAAGGGTACACAGGGTACTTTTTGTCTGACATGTTCGTAAGAAACAGAAGCAACTATCATATCAGTTGCTAGATCATTTGTCTGAACTTTAAAATACTTCTAATCACACTTAAAAATTCAGTGTAGTGGAAGTGTACCCTGAAACTATAAGATGAATTTGAAACAATCAAGCAAAATAACTAATCTCATTTGCAATAAAAAAAAATTTTTTTTTTTTGAGACAGAGGCTCACTCTGTCTCCCTGGGTAGAGTGCCATGGCATTATCATAGCTCACAGCAACCTCAAACTCTTGGGCTCAAATGATACTTGTGCCTCAGCCTCTGAGTAGCTGAGACTGGGCATCCGCCACAACATCCAGCTAGTTTTTCTATTTTTAGTAGAGATGGGGTCTCACTCTTGCTCGGGCTGGTCTTAAACTCTTGAGTTCAGATCCACATTCTTCTCAGAATGCTAGGATTACAGGCATGAACCACTGTGTCCAGTCCCATTTGCAATAATTTTTCAAACAGGATTTTCTTAACACTATAGAAGAAAAATGAATTTGGAGGTTG